TCTAGCTAATTAGATGATTTTTGTATTATCCAATTAAAATATCATTTCTATTGAATGTTTTGTATTGTTTCTTAGGAAATAATGATTTGTTCGTTCTAATAGGATGACTTTTCATCATCTAATTAGAATATTAATATTGATTTGAATGATAATGCATTATCCCTTTAGAATGATAGTTTGATTATTCCAATTGAATGATTTTGTATTATTCAATTAGAACAATATTGAATCATTTAAAATCAAATGATAATCATTTCAAAAGGAACGATGTTGAATCATTCAAATCGAACAATGATCGTTCTTATTAAACAATGATATATCGTCTCAAAAGGACAATTTTTTAAATTGTTCACTAAAAATGATAGTCGATTATCCCTTTAAGACATTTTTTAATTGTTCTTAATGAATAATTTTTTGGGATAATTTTTTTGATTGTTTTTACTGAATAATGATTTATCGTCTCAAAGGGACAATTTTTTAAATCGCTTAATAAGAATGATGTTCTATCATTTTAAAAGGATGATTTTTAATCATTATTAATGAATAATGATTTTATCATCCCTTTAGAACAATTTTTAAATCATTTTTAATGAATGATAATTTTATCATCCCTTTAGGATAATTTTTTAAATTGTTCTTAAGGAATGATGATTTTATTATTCTATAAGGATGATTTTTCAAATCATACAATAAGAACGATGATCATAAAAGATAATAAATACTATAATTAATTTCATAATATATGCTAAAACTTTTATATAAATAATATATAATAATAATTTATCAAAATCTTACTGAAAAAATTAAACATAATAAATATATTTTAATATGAATTAATTTTGAAAAAAGTTTATAATAAAAAATAAGCAGATTTTAAAAATGAAGTAAAAATTATATCAAAATTATAATTGTCATAGTTACTGAAATATTGCAGTTTTAGAATAAATAGCTGACAAATTTTACAAAATATTATCATAAGTAGATCATTATAATAAAATAGTATTAAGTAGTATTAAATATAATTAAATTTTAATTTACTATATTGCATGTATATTTTAAACATATTAATTAAAATAATACTATAATTTATAAGAAAAAATTTTAAAAAAATAATATTGTTTTTATTTTTTTTTTCACTTTTTGCATTATCTTTTTAATATGAACCTTGCATTTTCTTTTCTTTCATATTATTCTTTTCTTTGCCTTTAATATGAATACTTTGTAGAAGACATTGTATTCATATTATTCAATATGAAAAAGCTTATCTTAAAAGATTATATAAAATATAATTTCAGTTTTAATTATTTCAAAATTTAAAAAAAAAATCAAAATAAAGTACTTCATAACAAATTTATTAATTTCTTTAAATTTAAATAAATAGATTAATTACAGATTTTGTATCAGAAAATGTAATAGTAAAATAATTATAATTATTTTAATAAATTATAATTTTAATGTATTAATTTAATTAACTTAATATAATTAATTAAATTAATTAGAAATGATTATATTTTAAATTTTAAAATAAACCATTTTTACTTTGTTTTACTTATCAAGTAAACTTATATATGGGATATATTTAAAGAATCATCAAGCTTATGTAATATTATAAAAGAAGCCATTAGAATTACCAACTTTTTTAGTTATTCAAAATTTGGCTTGAATATCTTCATATTAAACAAATAAATACAAATTTCTTTAATTTCTCTTACTACAATATGATGGAATTTCCATTATTATAATTTTGTAAGTTTATTAAAGACAAAAAGTATCTTACTAGTAAGTTATTAATTAAATTATTATTTTATTATTATTTATTGATTTTAAAACTAAAGGTTTAGAATTTAAATATCAAAATTGAAAATCTAATTTTAAAAGATATGATTTTTCAAATAAGTATCTTAATTATATTCTTGACAATAATTAGTAACATCAAATTACGAAGATCAAAGAGCTTTTAATTCCATATTGTTTAATATTAAATAAATTTAAAAACATAATGCTTAATTATATAAAGTACTTTATTGATTTGCAATTATCATAAAAGTTTTAATAATCAAGTTTTAAATAATGTTCTTTTGAAAGAAACTTAAAAATTGATAGAAATACTATCTTTTTTATTAGTATTATTACTTTATTTATTATATTATGATTCAAAATTTAATTCAAATACATCAAGTACGTCAAATTTTTTTTTTTTTAATTAAGCAGATAGATACTTTATTATTATTGTACTTGATTTCAAGAAAATCCAGTTATTTTATTATTAGAATTAGAAGATTATTATGCAAAAAAACATTTATATATTGGTGCAATTGCAAGACAATTTAAAGATAATATATTGGGATATTAAAATTATATACAAGGATATTCAAAAAATTATATAAAATTAGAAAGCATATTTTTTTAAGTACAGTTTCAACTGCTTTTTTAGAATGATTATTTTTTATTATAAGTTAGTATTATTCGAATAATGAAATTAATTAAAGGCAATGATTCTTTATTTATAATTTTATTTTTTATTATTATTATTTTTAATTTTAAATTACTTGTTTTTAAAAAGTTGAAAAAGTTTTAGGAAATAACTTTTATATTACAAATATTTGAAACTAACATAATAATTATTGTATATAAGATCTGATTTTTTAAAAATTTATTATAAACCAATTTTTTAATTTTATCTTTATTTTTTTAATTTCAACTTTATAATATCTTAATTTTAAGATATATTAGAACAATATATAGAATTTTAATCCTTTTAAATAAAAAAAAACTTATTATCAATTCTTTAATTTGAGAAATTAATGTCAGAATGTGGGTTTAATTCCTAAGTTATAGAAGTATACTTTAGAATATATGAATCAGTTAGATTAAAATTAAATTATATATTATATGATTTATAATTGATTTTATATTTATATTGCTTTGGAATCATATATTTTTCTCTCATATATGCTATTTTAGCATATGTTTAATAGGATTTATGAACTTTTAAATTTAATTTATATTATTATTTTTAGTTATTTATATAACTAATTCAATAAAATATTACTAAAAATTAAAAATTTATAAACTTATAGATTTATAAATTTATTATAACTAAATTTTACTATAAATCTGTAATATTACAAATTTGAAAAATAATTGCAATACCAAAAATGACTTTAAAATTTTAACAATAACTTTTATTATAATATTAACTTATGAGACAACAGTTGAAATGAGTCAAGTCAATGATTTGACTCAAATTAAATGAGTCAGAAATTTTTTGACTCAATTTGACAAATTCAACTCAACTCATTTGACTCATGAGTCAACTCGACTCTACATGTGATATGTTTATATTCAACTAAAAAAAAATCTATACTAAATTATAACATACCTGTATTATTATACTTACATTTGTTATCTATCACAATATTTATTTACGAACAAATGATGGTATTATACTAATCCCTCTATGAGATGACTTTATAGCCGCTAGTTGGTTACCTTATTAACAGTTACTTGCACTTGACCAACCCTTTTTGAGAAATTCTAAGAATTCTTAAACATATGGAAGATTTGCTAGGAATTTTGAGAATTTTTTTAAATTTTAATTTTTGAAGATATTAGATTCAAATGCAATAATCATGAAATTTTAGTCAAAAAATTCTCAGTGCATAAACTACATCTTGTTTATTAAAAAAGAAAAAAAATTTTTTTTCAAATAAAAAAATATTCATTCTTAATATTGTCTATGATGAACTTTAACTAGTAAAGGATCTTTCATTGGTAAAGTTAAAGAACGAGCATAATCGGGAGGACATTTTTGTCCCGGTACCATTTCAAATTTGAATTGCTTTAATACGGCCGTCGCTAACATTATAGCTTCAACTGTGGCAAAATTTTGTCCAAGGCTACAATATACAATATAAATAAAAGTTAAAAAATTTTCGGATTCAATTTATTCCAATTATTATACTACCATATTCTTGGTCCAGCGTGAAAACTTATGAATTTATATTGACTTGGCTTCAATCCATCTTCGGAATTTAAAAATCTTTTTGGATTAAATTGCCTTGCATCATTTCCCCATATTCTTTCATCTCTTCCCATTGACCAGGATGACCAATTAACCATCTCACCAGCATAAATTGGTACGCCATTGGGAAGCACATCATCTTTAAGACATATCTATTATAATAATAAAAAGGCAATATATTTAAAAAAATTTCCTGTTAAAACAAACATGCATGGAATTTTATTTTTTTCTCGGTAATCACCCTAAGACTTTTCGGTACTATAGGATGTAACCGAAGCGTTTCGTGAAATACTGCCTGCGTATATTGAAAAAGTTTTATATTTTCATAATTTGAAATTGTATTTTCTGATGTGAGTAAAGAATTAACTTCTTTGATTAATTGTTCTTCTGCGGAAGGATTGACCATAAGATTATACATCATCCACGAGAGCGTCTAAATATACGAAATGAATTAGAATTGGTACTTGCTTAAACAATAAGAAGTCTTGAACACCAAAGCATTATTACTTGTGCAGTTGTGTCACGTCCTAAATTATGCAAGCTAAAAATCAATAACAGAAAAATGAATGCAAATTATAATTTCCCATGAGACGTACCAGCAATAATAAAATTTATCACAACATCTCTTAATTCCTTATCGGTCAATTTTTCACCGTTATCATGTTGAGCGTTCATAAATATATTAAGGATATCTCTAGGGTCTTTTAATGCTTCCGGGTTATTCCTATGGTTCTTAATTATATCATAGGCAAAAGTTGATAAATAGTCGCACGCTTTTCGCATTTTATGACCTTTTTCTGTAAATAATTCTGTAATTTTCCAAAAAGGATTTTCGACTCGATCGTTCATTACTCTTTGCGCAAAATCGAATGACGTTGCAAATTTTACTGGATCTTTTAGATTTTTCAGGCAATTAAAGTCCAATCCAAATGTAATCCTATAAATTAATTTTAGAAACGTTTATTTTTTTTTAAAAAAAAAAAAGAAAAAAAAAAACGCACTTTCCGAAAGAATCCATTGTAAACCTAAAAAACAAATCTTGTAAATCAAACGTTTCACCAGTCCTTGCTAATTTATCCAATGTATTTAATACGATCTTGGTTTCTTCTTCAAACACAACGCAAAAAATGTTACGAAAATTTCTGCCGTTAAATAAATGACTCGACAATTTTCTTTGCATTCTCCACGCATTTCTACCCAAAAAATAAAATTATGGTCAACCAAATGTTATTGTTATTGGTGCAATAAGAAAAAAGTGGCCAGTTTACCCATTAGAATTAAAAATTCCGTCTCCAAACACATCATAAACAATACTGTAAAGGGCTGGTGATTTATAATAGTTCTCGAAATTCGCTGTAGAATTATATTATATATATAAAGTAGGTTAATAAGATCCAATTCAATAACGATAAATGATTCCTCCAACTTACTTTTCAGAACGTGTTCTATACATTCGGGATTATTAATCGTGACAACCCTACCCAATCCTGGTAACGTAAACGTTCTAAGGTTAAAAGTTATTTATTAATCAATTGTCTCAGATATTCTCGAATTTTTTTTTTCGCTCAAAATTACTTACGCATTTGGACCATATTTTGTTAAAGTTTCGCACATGAACATTAAGAGTCCTTTGTTATCTTTGTAAATATCTAAAATATTTCCAATAAGTGGATAGCCTTTAGGACCATTAAGGTCTGTCCTTGGTTTCGTACCAATACTCCTATCTGGATATTTTATCAAAAGGTAGATCAAAATTCCTAGAAGGCCTACGAAGGCTGCTGTTATAAATTCCATCTTTATAAAATTTTTTTTTTATAGTTGAGAAATTTATTGACTCATTCTAGGGACTTATATATATCTGGGTAAATTAGTAAAACCAATGCATGTGTAACATGGTCGGTCAGAGGCCTTTGACCGACTGGTTATATTGACCGGTTGACCGGCCCATATAACAATAATATAATTTAAAGTTCTTGATCGTTAATTTTAATTTAAGCTTTAAATATTAGTAACAATTTTTATATATTTTACTTATTTCTTTTAGGCTAACTTGATATGCATATATGCATATTAAGTTTACTTTCATATTTACAGCATTGTCGCGAACTTTTTTTTAAAAATTTTTATTTATAAAAAATTACATAACTAAAATGATTGTTAATTAAATGCAAAGAATTCTTGGATTACTAATTAAAAAATGTTTGGTCAACCGGTCGGTCAAAATCGGTCAAAATCGGTTGGTCAACCGGTCGGTCAGAAACCGATATCGGTAACCATTAGCATCCATAAACAGGAAACCAATAAAAAAATGTAATCAATCATATCAAAGTTACAATTGCGCACAAATTTTCTAATTTTTGCTTGCTTGTCTAATATGAGTCTTGTAATATGAATTGACAAATATATTATAATTAGAGGAGGAAAATTCAAGTGATGAAGAAGAAAACATGGTTTTATGAACTGCTTTAACATCGGTAGCTAGAAGTTCTTTCATCTTATGATCCTAATAGATTCAAAAAAATCTTTATAAAATTTTTTACAAGTATCTAATCTGATATGTTTCCATCCTATATTTTATTATAAGAAACAAAGCCTCAAGTTTGTATTAAGCTTCAGATAGCTATATTTCTTTGTAAACTTTATTCTACTAGAAGTTTATTTGGAGTTTGTTTAAGATTTAGATTAGGAGAAAAAATAGTATTCTTTACAAGTCACTGGGAATAATCTTCTCTTATTACTTCAGTAATTTGTCTAAGTTTCTTTGCTGCGGTAAGTAACTTCCTTATCATTAGACTTTACAACCTTAGGAAATCTTACGTCCTACAGGTATCCGGAATGCCTTGGAATTACTTCACTTGGTTTACAAACTTAAGGGTTTAGGGACTTAGAAAATTTAGAGAATTTATTTATTCTAAGTGACGAACTCAAGTTAGTGTAATGGTTCACGATCAAATCCTAGATGATGGACACGTAAAAGAGAAAAGTAATTGTTTTAAAAAGTTGATTCCTTTATTTATTACTTGAAACTCATGAGTATTTTTGAACTTACAAGAGAGTTATTTTACAACATGAGCAAAAAGCTATTCTATTTATACAAAATTAATTTGC